CAAGCTCTAAAAATTCTGGATCCTACAGTAACCATAACATCCTACAGCATTATTTGAGAGCACATTTACAGTATATTGTCCCTTATTTCCTCTCCTTCCTCTCTCATCTTCAACTTACTTCCGTTGGCAGACATGTTGCCCCACCCTGACACCAGGCCGTTCTCATCTGCCACAGGGTAGTGAGAGGGCAGGGCCACAGTCCGCATGTAGCTGTTATGGGTGGCAGGGCAGCTCAGTTTGATCAGCATAATGTTGTTGTCCAGGTTGTAGCTGTTGTACTGTGGGTGCTTAATCAGCTTGGCAGTGTCAATCCACTGCTTGGCGCCCTTATTTACAGCGATGTTATGCTCACCAAGATGGACTTAGACATGACAGGTGAAGGTAGCAATGTTAGAGAATTTAGAGTCTGTTTTCTGAAAAATGATTTCGGCATCATTTTAAGATTTTCTGTGCAGCATCAAAGCTTGGCTTAATTTAGTCACCATAAACTACTGGTCATATCAGATGAAGTAAGGCTGTAGCAGCAAAAAGTATAATACATTGAGATAATGTGTTTTATCTCTAATAAAGTAGGCTACATTTAAAATTTGTAATAAAGGTATAGTGTTATTTTGTACATGTACCTCTAAAGTCACATAGTTCTGCTTATATAGTACATATGTACTTACAGCTGTGTTACTTTGGAAAGGTAGACATCTGTTGAGTATCAAATGAGTTATAGGAGCCATTGGGAGATTTTTATGTCTTTTGTCAGTTATCTTAATCCTGCAAATGGTAAATAGATTTTATTTTTGTTTGTCCTATCTGGACACATTCCTCATTAAAGCATTTGAGGCGATGCAGAATGTGACCTTCTGTACTTAAAACTTGTAGCAGTGAGCAGCAGACACCACCCACTGACTGGAGATGAGGGATCCACCACAGAAGTAGCATCCAGCATTCAGACACACCTGTTAGGGAACAGTGTCTAGGACACTCACACCCTCCAACAATCTTATCATCCTCAAATGCAGCATCTGAAACAACATATAATGGATAGTACAAGATGTAGAAACCAGAGAAATACTAAACCACTGCCATCTGTGAAAAAATACATAAAGGGTTGTGAAATAAGTGAATAATAGTACATTTAAAAAGTTATTTGTCAAAACATGACGTAAAAAAAATCATTCTCTTACATGCTGCTCCAAGCAAAGCCAGGAATACAAGGTCCTTTATGCTGATGTTTGTCTGAATGTAAGGGATATCTCACACTGTTAACTCTTTATATGCACACAAGTCCTCAAAATGAATGGATAAAACCAACAGGCCACTTAAAGGCACTTCTGATTTGACAGTACCCTTCATTTAACAGTTATGTAATCAGCAATTATATAATATGAAAGCAGTGAAGGTTAAATATGCACAGATGAAAATATAGAGCTTATGATCAAAACATCTTCATCACAGTAGAGCAGATTTAGACTCAAACAGACATGACATGAAACAGATGTCATACTTACCCAGAAATACATGTGCTTATTTTAACTTTGATATCCCTGATTATAGCCGTTCAGTTTGCAGATGTCACTGCTCAGCAGTAGGCTGCCGGAAGATTCAAGAGGTTTCTCAGTAATCCATAGAAATCCCAGTAAGACTGTTCTAAAATTGCAAGGCAGCTTGTAAATAGTGTGAGTACTGTGTATATATTTGATTCCACCAACCTGGGGGTCATGACCCCTCAACAAGATAAGTCACAGGGATCACATGATGGTTAAACATTTCTGCTTCACAAAATTCTCTTAGCTGTTGCGTGTGAAGTCCTAGAAAGTGCACAACTTCACACCTCTAGAAACACCGAAATTAACAAAGACTTAAAAGTGTGCAAGAACTCGGTGACATTACTGCAAGAAAATAAAATACAAATGTAATTTTTAAGTACCAAAATGTACCTTTTGCTTATTTTCTGTCCTGGTAATTAGCACAATCACATCACATCTCGCAAAGGGGTGCTGATGCTCCAATAGGAAACCAGTAGTCTATATTATTGTTTAAGATATATACAATATATTGCATTTCATTTGTCAGTTAGATACAGCTAACTAAAACTAATGTAGTCTACTTTGGTTTGCCATTTGTCTATATGAATACAACTGGGTACAAACATTCGATTATGAAAGACTGTTAGTATCACTGCAGGAAAAATAAATTGCACTGACCCAAAAAAAAAAATCACATTTTACACACATTAAAATGCACTGAATGGACATTTGTGCATGTTCTTTTATGAATCACAAATATTTTAATATAAAACAGGTAGTAGAAAAGGCAAAAGGAAAGCAAATTTCAAACATTCCAAAATTTTATTGAACATAAATAAAAAAATTGTAGGTAAAAAAAATATTTAACAGGTTTAGAAATTCTTTATACAACTATGTACAAGCACCGCTCCACTGAGCCAATAAAGATTTCTGTCAGACTCAATTGTTAATCCTAAAAAACAAAACAAATCTACAGCCTTCAGGCTAAACTAAAGGATCCTATCTACATCCATAAGAAGGTGTGGTGAGCACAAAAACAGCGGTTATCTATTCTTACAAAATAATTGCCGACATAACAATAAGTCCATATTTAATTGTATTTTTGTTTTTATACTATCAAAATGTAATGATTAGGAAGATTGAAGAACAATGAACTAAGGAAGCATTTTTTTCAAAAAATTGTGTTGTGTGACTAAATCTTTGCTTCATAACCCCTTTGAGGTAGCACACCTGTGAGATGAAAAACAGGGGGAAGAGGGTGCAAATCAGCTGCAAATAAAGGATTAACCTAGGATCATTACTCGGCAGTAGCTTCAGTTCAATTAGCCTTCACTTACAAACAGGAAGTTAAAAGCTCAAACATTTATTTCCAACCAAATTGTTGAATATACATTTATAGTTCAAATATACAAAAAGATTTATAAGGGACTATGCAGAGCAAGATCACTATATTCACTTTTAACCCTGCATCAAAGAAACTCCCTCAAAGACCATAAAATACACAAACATCACAAATGAACAAATAAAGAAGAGGCTATATTAGTGAGATAAAAGCATTCAGATCACAGCACCTTTGCCATTACAAATAAAATCAGGACATTTCGACTGAAGGGGGGGGGGGGGACTATATTAAAACTATCTTTTAGGGCAAATCACACCAACACCTGAAATGTTGGAGTCCCTGCTCACAAGACTTGTAGTATCCAGGGTGACATTAAAATGTAGCTACACTGCAGTGTAAGCAAGGTGCTTTAGTTCTGTGTTTATTTTGTTCTGAAATAAACTTGGTCTTGTCTGCTGTGCCACCAGTGCTGCTGGAGAAGGCTGTCAAAGTAAGTTGCTGGATAAATTCTCTTTTCTTCTCTGTGACCTTATGTTGACAAGAACACCAGCCAGCATAACAATGGATCCTTCTTTACATTCTAGTAACTGCATCAGGTTATTTTAATGTGCACCATATTTAGCTGGTAGTGATCGCCTCCTTGCTGTTGTATAGCCCAGTTCCAGTAGAGGTTACAGACAACAAATTCAGCAATGTAAAATAGTGTGTGGTGTATGAGATGGTCAGAACAAACCCAGCAGCCTAAAATCATGAATCCTCTTTGTCCCAAGCTTTGACATATGGCTGAAATCTGGTTTCTGTGACTGTTAATAGCAGTTCAGAGGACACAGAAACAAAGCATCCTGCCCTTGCGCTTAAACTTCCATTAAAGTGACAACTCTCAGTAGATCAGGTCTGTGTGCATCAGCGACCTCATTCTTATGGCTACATCACGAGTCACCTTCAATTAACCAAAATCCAACTCCTGGATTCAAGTGTATTAAACAGGATGGCTACTGGTACGTGGTGTGCGTGGTGATGTACTAATTTAAGTAGCGACGACAGCGTCTCGCCCCACAGTTGCAATGCAGTTTGTTGCTCTCGTCCTCAATGGGAAACTTGTAGTCATAGGTGAGCTCTTCGCCCCGGTAGATTTTCCTCAGGGCGAAGATGACAATGTGCTTGCGGCCATCCACGTTGATGACACGAGAATAGCAGTTGGGCTCACATGAGTGATTGATGAAACGGGCTGCGTTGCCTTGCATCGTGGCGTCCACCACGTCAAAGTCATCGATGCGGAACATGTAGCAGCCAATGCCCTGATGAGGATTGATTAAAGAATGCAGTTGGTCATTATCTTTTACTTTTCCAGTATGTTCAACAGTGTAAAGTCGTACATTTTCCTAAAATCAAACTCAGTTCTGATACTGGCAGTGTATTTTAATCCTCTGGTTACCGCTCTTTATATCACTTTACATTTTTAGTGGCATTTCTGCACAAGATTAAAATCACCTATCTACCCACACACAAGGGATTGACAGGAAACACTCATTTCATTAGTGCTGCAGCTTCACATTAGATGCATACGACTGGTGAAACACAGGGTGGCTTTTATTGTGAAGCATTCACAGGAAACAGATTTTATATAGCAAGTCAATCACTGTCCTATTGATTTAAATTTCTTCTAGCTCATAGTCTAAGGTTGACAAGACAATTCAACAGGAAAGAACATGCAAAAAATAATGGCAGAAACTGACTGTCATGATATGATGATTTATAAGTACAGGAGTATAGTATGTTTACTGACCTTGCTGTCATAATATTTCTCCCGTTTATCAGTCAGGACGGCGCGAATCACTGTACCAGCATACTCTACCACCATCTCCCCAGCCTCGATGTTCCTCTTACAGAAAAGGCCGCGCCCATGAATTTGAGATCTGACAGAATTATAGAGAAGGGAATGGGTCAATTTATTTGAGGATACATGTTTTTTATACACTTCTTTGTTGTTGTTGCCGTTACCTGTAAACTCCTACTGCTTCTTTGGAGATCTTCTCCAGGTGTCTGAATCTCATTGCCATGGGAAGCTCACTGCTAGTGGCTCTTCTGTCAGGGTTATGCACAAATGAGGTAGTATCAACATAGTCATGTCTGTCAAATTTCTTTAGCAAATTTCAATTCTGGAAAATATGTAATCCCCTAACCTGGAAGATTTCAACGGGAACTCATCCTCCTCTTCATCAAAGGGGCCTATTATGTCCGGAAGCACTCTGTGCTGTGATGCCAGGAAGTTGAACATGTCAAAAGTTGCTTTCCTAATCAAAGGAACAGTAGGAAAGACAAACATTTTATTTGAAGTGTATGCCAAATCACACACAAGAGAGTGAAAGAAACAACAAACAGACCTTATTACCATTTATGAACTCTTAATAACAAAAACACTTTTCACAAAAAGTAAATGCAATTGTGTTTGTACCGTGTGTAGACTTCAGCTCTTGCGCAGCCACTCGGGTTGAGGGGAAGCTCCTCCTCGATGTCATCACATCGGTGGAAGCGGAAGCGGTGGTGTTTGCAGTCTGCAGCCCCGTGAAGCTGCTCCAGCAGAAAGATGACAGCATCGTGGATAACACCGAGCATCCGTGGGCCACTCATCCCACCAAGAGGCAGCTGCTTCAGGTGAAAACCTGCTCGAGCTTCAAGGACGCCGTCAATCACTGCACGCCAGGCAACTGATGGAGGAAAGAGATAAGGAAGATGTGAGGGTCTGGCAACACTGCATATGCACATGACTTCATTAACCAATACCTGCTAGTACAAAAGAGAGACTCAAACACAGAATGTCCACAAGATGACTTCTCAGCTTCCTGGAACAGCATAGACACACCATGAGGTGCTCAAGTTATACTGGAAGTAAACCTTCATAAATTTATTTTGTCTAAAATTAAGACATCTGTTGAACAATGCATTTACTAATAAAAGAAACAAGAAGTTGGAAAAACAGCTCTTACCTTCAATGCTGTTAGCTTTAACGCTAAAGCCGTCGTCACTGGTGATTTCAAAGCGCAGGTGGGGCTGATTCATGTATGTCCTCTTTCTGTGTTTAGGTGAAGATGTGTCGTCTTCTGAGCTATAACCTGTAGAAATAAATGCCATTGCTAAAAGTGTTATGTACAACAAAAAGCCAAAATTAAACAATTAGATTTGAAGAATCAGAACTTATCAGGCAAATACAATCAAATATATCATTTAATATTCAACATTTCCCATCAAGCCACAAACCTGAGTAAGGGCACCATTCAGAGAGGTCTGCATGGCGGGCACTGAACCATGTGTGTGTTTTACTTTGACTGAGACTGTTGGTTTGTGCGGATGTAGGTGCACTCTCAACCTGAGGACGCCTGAGCAGAAAGCATGAACAAATAAGTACAAAAATAAACAATAAATGTGAGTACTAGAATGCCTTTCATTATTTAGAGGCCTATTGAGAATGGTACATACAGCAGGTATTTTCAGTACCATCTAATGGACTCACATTTCTCTCTGAGCTGTGAAATTCTACCTGTGATAAAAACTAAAGTTTATACACAATACTGCTTTAAAATCTACTTTGTAATAATAATCACCTTTATTTGGCCACGTACTGTATGTTACACACAAGGAATTTGTTTCCGGTACAGAACCGAGGCAGCCATCTGCGGTGCCAATTCAACCGATGGCTCTAACCATCGGCGGCAACTTGGGGGTTCAGTGTCTTGTTCAAAGACACTTCGACACGTGGACTACAGGCACCGCGATTTGATCCTCTGACCCTCCAGTTGGGATACGACTACTCTACCCACTGAACCATAGTTGCCCCGTGGCAAGTTGTACTCTTTTAGAATAAGTTATTTTGCATTTCCATCCCACAAACATAAATGCAGCTATGGAAGTGAGTAAACATTGATCGTTAAATTTGTGTAAACTGACACCGGCCATTTTCCTCTTATGGTATAGTAATAAGGCTCTATAAGGATACCTTTAAAATGAACTAACCTGGAGGGTCCTGGCAGTGGTGGAGCAGTAATCCTCAAGGGCTCAGGCTCAGACAAATTCTTTTGGTCCAGATCAAGAACATCCTTCATTGTTGGAGCTTTCATTCTTACACCACTTGGTCTGTTAAAATAAAACACTGTTATAAAATTCTAGGACAACACAGGTAGAGTTTTAGCCCTATTTTTTACAATCTTACACTCAGTTCTATACTTCAGTGACACCAAAACTAAGTGTTCAATACCTGGATTCATTAACTTCATCCATCTCACTTGAGGGATCTCTCAAGAAGTCCATCTTGGATTTCTTCCTGGAGGGCCTTTCAGTTACTGATGACACTCTCTTGATACGCACCTGGTGGCGGGATGACAGAGGTGTTGGATGCAGGCTGAAATTTGGTTCACTGAGGAAACCACTGGGTAAATCTGAGCTTGGAACTGGTATGTGATCTGAATCTTCTGTGTCTTGAAACTGGGGTGGTCTTCGATGTCTGGCCTTTGGCGATTGGGAGTTACTGAGGATGATGGGTTTTGTTTTTGGTGCGTCACGGTGGGTAGACATGGCTCTGTCAATAATAGCCTGAGCTGTGCTTCCTTCACTGTTAGTGAAACCAGGCTCAGGAACACCATGCACACTCACAGGAGCTGTGGGAGCGGGATTTCCAGTGCTTTTCGAAGGCAGCACTCTGAAAAAGATTTTTCTCTCAGATGTTGTTGTGTGGTTACTGGCAGGAGATGCATTTGTAGCAGGCAGGACAGAGCAAGGCCTTATTATGAAACGAGGGACTGGGCGCTGCAAAGCATTACTGCTATGCAGAATCTTGGCTATCTGGCTTATTTTACTGTAGGCAGGCGAATTTGTACTGAGTGGATGGCAAGTGTTGGATCTTGGATCTTTAATGAGAATCTGTCCTTGACTGTTGACCAACAAGATCTGAGGGGAAGGAGCCGGGGCTGAATTAGCAGCCTCATTCTGGGTCTCTGCCCGCTGCTGACTTTCTGGCCTGTAGTTGTCCAAGCGGATTGCGATGGTTTGGCCCCGTGTGACGCCAGGTTGAACAGGTGAAGCATTTACGCCATTGACCAAAATGGGGGACGTGACTGTGCATGGGAGTGCACAAAAAGTGGCAGCAGCAGGAGAAACAGATGTATTATTTATCAATTGTCTTGACAGAGGGGGAAACAATTTGATTTTATTCTGCTGCTGATTACATGGTTTTGGTGACAAGCGTTTGAGGTTTGATGAGGGACGATATGTCTTCACAAGGATGGTTTTCGTTTGTGCCAAGGGAGATTTTTTGGTTTTAGCCTCTGGAGAATAGTCGGGGTCATTCAAATCATCTCTGAATGGTTCAACTGAGTCAGATGATGAGCTATTGTCATCTTCATTGTTATTTGGGTACATTAAAGAGCCATCTTCAGCAGACACAAAATGGCCTGTGGTAGAATCCAAAAACACCTGACTGTGGGATTCTGGTGTTTCAGAACTCATCTGGACTTCTTCCTCTTGAACTGACATGTCACTGAGTACATAACTTGATTCAGAAAGAGCAGATGGTAAAGAAATTTCCTGAAACTGCAGCTCAGTTGTTCCTTGTTGGACTGTTGACTTTGACAGAGTGTAGACTGACTCCAGCCTCTTTAGAGCAACTGTCAGATGTTTAGTAGGTGTATTATGATTGGTGTGAATTTTTGTCTTTCCATCTTCTCTTTCTGTTTCCTGAGTTTCATCGTCGACTGCATCGCTTTCATCACTCTCTGACCCACCATCTGCTCCATCTAACTGTGAGATTGACTGTGCTGGATGGAGCTGACCTGAGGCATCTGAGGCATTAGCTGTGTCACAAACCACTATGCGCGAAAATTTTAAGTAATGGCTTGAATGTTCATCCTCCTTACTATCCTCCTTCATATCCACATCCTGCACAGTACCTTCCACCTCTCCCCTCCTGCCTTGGGCACCACAGTGAAGTGCCACATTCTCAGTGAGGAGGGTCTCATCAAACTCAAGCTTAGAATTCAGCATGGATGCCACTGCTACCTCCGTATCAGTATCAGTATCAAACACGGTATAAGGCAGTTCCTGGGCCATCAGATGTGCCACTGCCTCTTCCAAGTTTTCAGGGGCTAATGGGATCCCATCCGTTGTGGCCACAGCTGCGTCTTCTGTCTCAGATGATGCTAAAAAGTCCTGGGGAACCTCAGCAGAGACTGGGGTGGTGATTTTAAAGTTTTGCCTCACTCCAGGGGAATGAGTGACGGCTCCTTGCCGAGGTGACAGCCCTGCAGAGAAGTTTGAGTTGGATCTAGCTGGGGAGCTCCAGACTGGAGATGTTGAGTTTTGTTGTGAGAGAGGAGGCGAGGCTGGTCCAAAGTTTGATGATCTTGGAGGGGAGCTGAACAGGCCACATCTGGAATGGACAGTGCCACCGGAGCGGAGGGTCATTGGTACAAACGGATCGCTGTCTGTGGGTGAGGAACTACAGCGGCTTCTTGATGAGAGCCTACGAGGTCGACGAGTGTCATCAAGGTCCCACAGCGTCAGGACGTGATGTGATTTGGGAGGAACAGACCCTGAAAGCATCAAATAATAGAGTGAAGCAGAGAACAATGCTAAATTCAGGGGTCTATTTAAATCATTTAGCTCACTGAACACTCCAAACTACCAACATATTTAGTAACTTTCTGACATCAGCAGTCTATGAAGCAAATCCACTCAATGTAACAACTGGACAGGTTCACAGAGATGATAAAGAAAGCAGCATTTGATCTTCTCTCTCTCTGTTCATTCATCTGAGAAGCTGTTTTGTATGTAAGAACAAGTGCAACACCATGTATACCTTCAAGAGGAGACGGTCAAAGTATGTGTCATTATTCTCATTTAAACAATAATCGTGCCCAGGTGGTGCCTCTTCCAGGACCCCACCAAAAAGGCCAGATACGCTGAATTTTGTTCAGTGCAAAAGTGTACACAACAGTCAGCATCTTCCTCTAAGATACTGTACTTACAAGACTTTCAAAGAAATACCATAAAAATACAATTAAAACAAAAAATGCCTCTGAAATTCTATTTACCTGGAGATGGGAGAGGTCGAGAAGAGCCTCCTGCTGGTCTCCTGGTTTGTGTGTAACCAGGACTTTTTGGTCCTGGTGTACTGTGCTGTTTAGAGTTGGGTGATGGAGTAGAAGACTTTATTGGGCTGGATGAGGAGCTTAAACAATCAGGGGACTCCATGTCTGTCAAAGAAGTTAGTGTATTTAGGTCTAACCACAGTGCAACTGGTCATATAATATGAAAAAGTATTTACATCTGCTCTGATTAGTATATAATCAAAAATCCATGACAGCGAAATACATAATGTGTTGATTTCTGCAACTAACCCAGAGAATTACCAGCCAACTGTGAAGTTCTCTCAGCTCTACAGAGAATTTTAGCATCTTCCAGTTGCTGTTTCGGTTTCTCACCACTCTCATGTTTTTTCATATCTGAGCAAACTGCAAGGTCCCGCTCACCTCTTTGGTGGTTTGGACTGTGGACTATGGTGTGGTTGTCTTCTTGGTCCCATGGAGGATCTTGCTCCTCACCAGGGAGGGGTGTGCTCACTTCTGTCACCTTACAGGTGTACTTACAGCACCTGCGGGGGTCCACAGTGCTCCAGTACAAGCGGGAACATCTAAAGAATGACAGTAAATAGTATAAGTTCATGTACAAGTGTTGCTCCTTATGTTTCATGAGCAGGGGTGTAAATCGCCACTCTCGTCACGGTATGATCCTATATCAAGCGTCCAAGCCAGCTAATGTTTGTCCATATTTAAAAATATGCTATGATGCGATTTCAATTTGATTCAGGGGCCTGCAAACAACATCAAGTGACATTATCGGCCTATTTCACACAATTTTTTTATTAACTAAAATGTAAAAAAAGTACAGTGGAACCTCGGTTTTCGTGGGTAATCTGTTCGAAAAAGTCAGATGAAAACCGAATGTACGAAAACTGAAGCAATATTTCCCATAGGAAATAATGTAAATCCAATTAATCCGTTCCAGACACCCAAAAATATTAACAAAAAATACATTTTATA